AAAGAGTTTATTTGGTTTACACTTCCAGAGCACTGTCTATAATTAAAGGAAGTCAGGACAGGAACCTGGAGGCAGGAGCTGAGGCAGAGGCCATGGAGGGGGCTGCTTACTGTTTGCTTCTCCATTACCTGCTCAGCCTGCCTTTTTTTTTTTTTGTTGTTGTTGTTGTTATTGTTGTTGTTATTTTGAGACAGGATTTCTCTGTGTAACTGAAATCCCAGAGATACACCTGCCTCTGTGAGAGCCAAAGTTACATTTTAAGTTTTAACTACTATGCCTAAGAGATCCATGAAACAAAAAAAATGTCTCTGATCTGTAAGCCCTTTGCTGAAGGACAGATAGTTCCTGAAATGCTGGAGGCTATTGTTTATGGGAGATAACAAGCCACATGTTTTCTCTCCCCTAAACAAGCTTGTTTGACTCTTATACACTGGATATGTTTGATCACATGTGGGTGAGAGGTTCACAGGCAGGAGATATGTCAGGATCTATGCTTGCCCCTGATTGGACCTGATGGGAATTATGGGTTTTCCCTCTTAAGCAGATGCAAATCATGATTGTGGGCTATTTCCCAGGAACCTGGGTATGGACCTGGCCATAGTCCATTCACCAGTCCAGTATCTGATTAAAGCTTGCTTCATATTTGGCTTTAAACCGTGGTAGTGGTCTTATTCTCCACTGGTGGAATTAACACCTTTGCCTCTCAGGTGCTGGGATTAAAGGTGTGTGTCACCACCTCCCAGCTAAGCCTGCTTTCTTACAGAATACAGGACCACCAGCTCAGGGATTGCACTACTCACAATGGGTTGGGCCCTTCCCCACTGATCACTAATTTAGAAAATGCCTTACAGCCGGTTCTTATGGAGGCATTTCCTCAGTTGAGGCTTCCTCCTCTAATGTCTCTAGCTTGTGTCACAAGGGTTGAATAAGCAGATTTCACTCTTCGTAGTTGGATCAATCCAGTGCAGCTTGAGAAACTACACTCTTGTGCTAGGGGGCTGCTTCTGTTACCCCCCACTTCCATTTAGCCAATAACCATGACAGAAGGAGTTCTTGTTTGACTATATCCTCCTTTTTAAAAACCAACTGTCCTTGATCCCAATCACAGATCGGGCAGGGCCCCCACAGACCTGGGTCTTCCAGCCATGAGGCACAGGCCTAGGTGAAAGGGCAGACAGGGGCAGCAGTGGATCCAACAGGGGAAACCAGCGACATCCTGCACAAGATTGTCGGTGTGACAATCCCACGGATGGTCTTGAAATACAACTACTTTTCCCATGCACCGGGTGTGAGCTTTCAGGGTTTGGGATACTGTGGTTATTTATTTAGGCAAATTAGTCCAGCTCAGCTGGTATGGAAGGGAGAGATCCTGGAGTCTAAAGTTGGGGATGGACAGGGGTTGGGTCCACAGGATGGAAGTAGAACTGCTGGGCTGGGGCAGGGTCTTGATGTGAGGGTGGAGCCAGGGAAGCCACTCTGAGGTCCACCACGTCCGGGCAGTCTAGGAGGCCAGGTAACCAGCGTCCACCAGGATGCCAGAGCCACTGGTAGAGGCACTGCTGTCGCTGAGCAGGAAGAGGATACTGTTGACAACGTCCTCCACCTCTGCAGGAGAGCAGAGCAGTCAGGGCTTCTGCTTGCCCAGCTGCTGGGAGCCAACACTGATTCCCTCACCCACATCCCCAGCTGACCTGCGAACTTCCTCAGTGGGTGGCGCTCCTTGAGCTTCTTGGCAAACTCAGCGTCTTCAGTGACTTTCTTGCCCATATCAGTCAGCACCACAGTAGGGTTTACAGAGTTTACCCGGATCTGGGGCCAGAAGCCACAGCTGGTGGCACAGCCAGTGAACTAGCCCTAGCCACACAGCTCAGGACTTGCCCCAGGTCAAGCCTGATGAGCTTGCTTGCTCTGTCCAGCTGAACCCTGGCCCCACTGCTCAGAGCATCCCCAAGCCTCACCCCATCCTCACCCCCAACCCCCAGCCCTGCCCCAGGTGCCCATCATCTGTCCCTCAGGTGTGGACCCATGCCCCTGTGCCTACCTTGTGTGGCCCCAGTTCCATGGCCATGGCTTTGGTCAGCATAGTCATTGCGCCCTTGGTGGAGCCTGTGGATGTGTGTGTGTGTGTGTGCGCTGAGGACAATTTAATTATCCAGTCCTCCTCCTGAGAGACCCACCCAGAACCTACTCCTGGTCCCACCACAATGGAGGGTGCACTCACAGTAGTTGGCCAGGCCAGGGAAGGTGACATAGGCCACCATGCTGGAGACATTGACAATGGATCCTGCCACTCCACGGTCAATCATGCCCTTGGCTACCATCTGGAAGAAAGAGTTGGGGGTAGCTCAACCTGCCTTGCCCTGCCCCACCCTCCCCAGGGGTTCATCTCTGGGCCACAGCCCTCCTACCATCTCACCTGGGATACTTGCAACACAGAGCGCACATTCACATGGAAGGACCTGGCAGGAGAGGAACAATGGTGTCCTGCACCACCCATCTTCAGTAACCCTCCCCCCCCAGCCTGCCCACTCTCCCCAAGTGCCCACCTGTCGAAGGCCTCCTTGGTGGCCTCCAGGAAAGGCTGCACCAGTGCCACCGCTGCATTGTTCACCAGCAGGTCCACGGGGCCGATACCGCCCAGTGCCTTCTCTGTGGCCTCCCAGTCACCCAGGTCCACGCACACAGGCTCTATCCCCGGACACTGTGGGAGACATCAGTTGGTGGCCTGAGGCATTGTCCCAGCCAGCTTCTGATGGATCCCTGAGGGTGGGGAGCAGGCCCAGGCAAGGCAGGACTATGCACCTCACCTCTTTGGTGAGGCTGACCAGGTCTTCGTTGTTAAGTGTCACAGCCACCACTTTGGCTCCTGAGGCATGCAGGGCCTTTGCAGTGCCCCGTCCAATCCCTGTAAGGAGGGAGAGTAGCGGCATCAGGGCCCTGTAGGCCTGGTCACAGCTGGGGTCTGGGTTCCAGGTGGGTGTAAAGGCTGTTGCTCCCATATCCCTGCAGCCAGCAGTGAGAAGGCACTCAGCAGAAGGTTATAAACCAGGATTAGATGGGACCCCCCCCCCCCCCGCCCAGGGTAGAGGTCAGACTGACTAGTATCAAACCCAAGGAGGCACCAGAGGGCAGCACCCTCCTGATGGGGTCCCAGAGAAGGGTACCGCTGGTGCCCATGCACCAAGCCTGGATCTAGGGGCTGTCTTGGAGCCAAGCTAAACGTGTCCTTCAGGGTGTGGCACTGACTGTGGTGGCCAGGGAGAGATTGGCATTCTGTCCTGGTGGGTGGTGGGTCTCCAGCCAGGTGACAGATGCCGGTGATTCTGTAGGACTGAGGGGTGACAGGGTCACCTAGGGCCCCGTTTCTGTCCCACTCCCACTCACCTCGCCCTGCCCCTGTCACCAGGGCCCTCAGACCACGGAAATTCAGCTTCATGACACCGATTGTCCTCCTGCGGCAAGAGGAGGCCCGGGGTCGTTAAGGCTGAACTGGCAGGTGGGACAGGGTTGAGGCTGGGGCACATGACCTGTGACCTGTCCCTGTGGGACTTGAAGAAGCAATAAAAGGGGTGTGTGCACACATGTGCAGAAGGCGTGACAGAGCAGTGGAGAAGGGTCCATATTAGCTCAAGCATGCATGCATGCACACACACACACACACACACACACACACACACACACACACACACGTCACTGTGGGGGGCCTGACACAGAAGTGTCGTGGGAGAGGAGGTGGCAGCCTACGAACAGAATTTGCTTTCTCATCATTCCAGTACCAAGTCTTGAACCCAGGGCTTCAGAGCATGATGGGCCACTGAGCCACACCCTTTGCCTAGGGAAGTGAAAATTCTGGGTTTGGGATTTGCCTTGTCTGGACAGAAGCATCAGCTTGTAACTTAATTTTATTATTATAAATGAGGGTAGTGACCTGACCTAGCTGGAGCAAGTGACTGAGATGCCCACTTGGAGCAAGACCCTGGGCACTGAACCCAAGCGCCCAGGGACCCAGGACCCACTGTGCCTGCAGTCTGTCCAGTGAGTACGATGGCATATTCCTTACCTGCCCCTCCCAGGTGCCCCTCACTGCGGTGCCCCTCACCTGCAGCCTGGACTCTGCCCTTGGTGACTGCACTGAGGTACCTTCTGTCCTCTGAGGCAGAACTCTTGTAAACCTAAGCATGGATTCTTGGGTTTCCTGCCCCAGTAGTGACCCCTGAGTCCCTCCGTGGTCTCTGCTTCTCAGAGTAGAGAGGTGGCTCTTTCAGGGCAGTTTGAAGAAACAGTCAGAGGATTTCCTGTTCAGTTCCACCTCTGGCAATTTGTCTAAGGGTGTGCTGAGGCTCTCCTATCTTGTGTGCCAGGTTCATGGAACAAATACATCTGTCCAGGAAGTCATGGCAGGTCACATGGTATCTGTACCAGGCAGGAGGCTCAGGCCCACAGACCACCCCAGGGCCAGCCCCAGTGACTCCTGCCTGCCGCCTTTCCCTTCATCCTCAACCCAGGCTTGGCAGCAAGACTGTGTTACTCTCTGAAAGATGGCTGCTGAATTTCAGGGGCTCTACGTGCCCTGATACCTGGGAGGTCCCTGGCATGATTTGTGTGTGACTCCCTCAGAGAAGAAGCCTCAGGAAGCCTCACTAGTGTGGGGACAGCAGTAGTGTCCTTCCCCCAAGTATTCCCCACACTCCTGTTCTGTGAGTGTCCTGGGGCTCAGGGGGACAACAGACACTTTGAGAGACTGGGGGTCAGTGCCATACCAGAGTCTGTCCCATGGCACACACAGGTTGACACCTAATGATTTGCTGCTGTCTTGAAGAGTTTCCTCATAGCATTCAGGGACAGACCATACCTGCTCACTGTGTCCTTGATCCCAGCCTGAGCAAGCCACCTGGGTCCTACAGGCAACCTCCAGGCGGCACTGAACACAGAAGTCTGGCCAGATTCACCCAGTAAGACCAAAGGCCTTCCCCTTCTATGATGAAAGCAGTTGATTGTGACCAACATTCCATCTGGTAGCTGCTGGATCTCCTGGGGATATGGTGGCCTGTCAGGGATTTGTTGTTGCTCTCCATGGCTGGCCAGTTGGGCGTTGGGGAGTGGTTTATCAAGAAGGACCCAGAGAATGTGAGTCCATGCCTCTATGACTGTCTCTACAGCCACTGCCATGAGCTGTCGAGAATGGCTGGTGGCCACAGTGTAGATGACACTCTGGACGGTCTCATTAAATAAGAAACACAGAGCCAAATGCAGAGTTAAAAGCCCAGAGGTCAGAGCAGTAGCCAAGAGCTAAGGTCATCTTATCTTACCACTCGCTGCTGTCCTTCCCCTGAGAGAGAGACCTTCTTTCTGTGTCCTGTGTCTTTTTATTGCCTTTCTGTTCTGCCTTCTTGTTGGCTCTAAACCCAACCACATGATTTCCTCGACACTGCCTGTCTATACAGACCCCCAGGTCTTTATGGTTGGTACTGGAAATAAAAGTTCAGGTCACCTTGCTTTGGATGTGTCCTTGACCACAGAGATTGCCTGCCATGTGATGGGATTAAGGGCATGTGCTACCACTGCCTGACTCCCGCTTAGGGCTCACTGTGACTTCTGATCTCCAGGCAACTTTATTAACATACAAATAAAATCACATTTCAGCACAAATAAAATATCACATATTTCCCCCTTCTCTTCTAATAAAAAAAGGGAAAAAAGTTTAACAAATATAAGAAAAACTATATACAAAAGTACAATAACTATATACAATATATACAAGCAATAAATACTTAAACAATGTCTAGTCCATTTGCACTTGACAAATTCAGAGAAAATAATTCCATTATCTATCTTATTTTGGTAAGTCCAAAATGTACCTGATTCACTTTCTATCCTAACTCATATTACTAACAGAGCTATCTTAAAATGTCTTTCAAATTTACACACTTATACCTCTTTAGTGAGTTTCTTTTCTAAAATTCTTAACAAGGAAAACTAAATCATGTGGTTGGGTTGAGAGCCAGTGAGAAGGCAGAACAGAAAGGCAATAAAAAGACGGGTCACAGGAAGAAGGTCTCTCTCTCTCAGGGGAAGGACAGCAGCGGGTGGTAAGATAAGGTGGTCTCAGCTTTTGGCTGCTGCTCTGATCTCTGGGCTTTTAACTCTGCATTTGGCTCTGTGTTTCTAATTTAATAAGACTGTTTAGAATTTCATCTACACCACAGGAGGGGAGCATCAGCTCCTGGGTTTTAAGACTGTAGCCCTCTGTTAACCTTGCTCTTTGGGGACCATTTCTCCAGGGTGAAAATGTCTTCATCCTCCATAGCTCTCGCTTTACCTCCTGGCACCTGTGTGGTCTGAAGATTTCTCAACCCGGAGTCACATGCTGAGCCCTAACTCCAGCATTATATGAGGAACTGTTGTAAAACAGTTTCCTTCAGTATTAAAAATTCCATCCTTCAGGGAAGCTGCTTAAGCAGGAAGGCAAACAACTCAGCTTCAGGAAGTCCCTGAAACTGACCAGTTTCACTAGGTTCCTCCCTGTCAAAGTAACTGAAAAAAGCTGAGAGTCACTCTCAGCCAAGTCAAGCTACAGAGAAGACTCTGAAGGCAGACCAGCTGTCTGGAAAAAGGAAAAAAAAATCAGCTGAGTTGCCTGGAAGAGGTTTAGACCAACGGAGTCACTTGGAGAGGACACTCTCCAACCTGTTGAGCTGCCTGCAGGCTGTGCAGTGTGCTCCAGGTTCCCAGCTTTTGTGAACTGTCACCAGAGCTGAGCTGGGTGAATAGGCTTTGGTCCTTGGGTCATTGCTGCTCCTGTTAGTATGCCTTCACCCATATTCTTGTAAGGAACCCCAATAAAACTCTTGGCTCATTAAGCTGGACGTTGGTCTTATCTGTGTGTTTGTGGTCTTTGTGGGCTTCCTGTCTGCAGTGAATGAATATGTGTTGTGTCTCCCCAGGAAAAATCTTGTTGCACAACAGGAGGAAAAGCCTTTGGGAGGAGACTAGGGAACACTGGCTCAGAAAGACAACTGACATTGACCTCTGACCTCTACTCACAAGTGCACATGTGCATCTGCAGGAAATATGCTCACACCTGAAGAAGACCCCCAGCCCTGAACAGTGGGGGTTTCCTCCCACCCCCAGATTAGGCACAAACCACCCCCAAACACCTGTTTTCACAGAGAGATCCTTTATTATGTGGGGGAAAGAAAAGTTAAAGTGGCTGCTTTCTGATGCAGGCAGAAAATAGCAGCAAATGACCTTGCAGGTGTAATTTTTAAGAGGAGGAAAGAGGAGGAGGTCTGTGTTAGAATAGGCTGGGGTGTGGTGGACAAGGGAGAAGAGGAAGGGGACAAGGGAGAGGGGACAGGGGTATTTGTTCCCCAGAGGGACAAAGGACTGCCTCTGGATAGTGGGGACAGACGTGGCCCATAGGCAAATGGTGGTTTATAAAGGTAAAGGGGAACCCCTGTGTTAGGATGAGGTGTTTAATTTTAACTGGGCTTGTTAATTAAGTGAGCCAAAGGGAGCTTTTGATTACTGGACTTTGGTAGTCATCCTCAGGAGGAGGAAGTGGTCAAATAAGGTACTAGACTTTGGTGGATAGATTTAGGAATGTAATCTAATCTTTTTAGCAAGGCAGAGGGGATGGGGAGAAGGACAAGGCCTGCCAGAGCCACATGCTTGAGTGGGCTAGTGTCCCTTCAACACCCACACAGATGCAGACTTAAAAACCCAGTGAATCAGAGTGTGGTGGTTCCCATCTATAACTCCAGCTCTTGGGAGACAGAATTGTTGTGGGACAATCTTTTTACATTTATGAAGATGTGTCATTGTGATTGGTTTAATAAAAGCTGAATGGCCAATAGCTACACAGGAGAGAATAGACAGGATTTCCAGGGCGAGAGAGGAAGAGGAGGAGGAATCTTGGCACAGGGATTTCACCAGCAGATTGGAGCAAGTTGGCTGTGCCACACTGAGGAGAGGTAAAAGCCATACAGCAGGATGCAGACTAATAGAAGCAGGTTAATTTGAGTTATAAGAGCAGTTGGGGATAAGCCTAAGCCAAAGGCCAAGCTTTTATCATTAGTAAGAGGTCTCTGTGTTGTTATTTGGGAGCTGGCATCCAAAGATAGTCCAACAAGAAAGCTTGCTATACAGAATCACAGCTTTAAGTTTGAAGCCAGCCCGGTCTGTTGTGAGCTCTAGGCCAGCCAGAGGTGTAGCAATACCCTGTCTCAATCCCGCTGGTTGTAGTGTAATGAGAAGGCCCCAAAGGGAGCTCCTGTGTTCAGCCCTGGTCTCCCAGCTATTGGGTGCAACAACTTCCAAGCTCCTATTTCAAGTCCATGTGTTGTGGCCACGAGCAGGACATGAGAGGATCTTGACAGCCTGGTCTGTGAGGTAGGAACTGTGTCCAGTGGTAAGGGGCAGTCTCTGAGTAAGACCTGTTCCCTTGGCTGCCATTCAGAAGCTGAATGCTTGTGGCCACAGGAGGTGGTGGGGAGCCTGGTGTGAGCTCTGTGAAGGGGCAGGTGCGGCAGAGCAGGTTTGCTCCTCAGGCTTCATTTATTTATTATTGTGTGGGAGTGTGTGGAGGTGTTTTGCCTGCACGTATGTGTGTACACTGGAGTTACAGACGGTTGTGAGCAGCCATGTGGGTGCTGGGAATCAAATCCAGGTCCTCTGGAAGAGCAGCCAGTGCCCTTAACTACTGAGATGAGGGAGTTCCTGCAGATATCCAGGCAGGGAAGTGAATCACTCGAAGAATGAAAACCCGGTGCAGATTGACTTTGTCAACCTTGATCAGACTTCAGGGAATAAAATTTGGCAGGTGGAGGTGCTGTGTTCATTGTCAGCATATTTAAAACACAGTACAATTTGAGGAAAAGTTTCCAGGCAACGATCAGTCCAATTCCAGATGCACAATAAAGCTTAAGGTGCGACTACATAGAAACTCTTTTTACAAAATACATGTGACCATGAGGGTAGGTTCAATAGCTAAAAGGCCAAAATCTAGTGTGATCTCTGACCAATGGCATAGAAGTCAGCAGGCCATAAAGTACTTGTGATGTCTCCCTTAAGTATGGGTAACAGTCTAGGGAGGGAAGAGTCTGGGATAACCATTCTGGGGAATTAGGGTGAGGTCTGTGTCTACAGATAGCAAGAGGTCACCAGGTCAGAAACAAAATACATTCCCAGCCTTCTGGGTGGGAAACCAGGTATTTTATCTCCTCCATTAAGAGATATATACCTGTGTGTTTAACGTTCCTGGTTTCCATAATGACCTGTGGGTGTAAGGACCTCTGTGCCCCCAATACTGAGATCTCTGCAGCTTCTCTACCTTATCTTTATAAGATTTGTTTTTATTTGTGTGCACATGTGTGTCCAGGTTCCCATAGAAACCAGAAGAGGGTGTTAAATCCCTCAGAGCTGGAGATACAGGCCTTTGGGAACTGCCCTGTGTGGGATCCGAACTCTGGTCCTCTGACAGAGCAGTAAGTACTCTTCACTTCTGAGTCATCTCTCCAGCCCCTCTGTGTTGGTTTGAACGGCTCCCATTGGCTCATATGTTTCAATGCTTGGTCCCCAGTTAATGGAACTGTTTGGAAAGGGTTAGGAGGTGTGGCCTTGTTGGAGGAGTGTGTCACTTAAGGTAGGCTTTGAGGTTTCAAAAGCCCTGAAGAGGCCTAGTGTCTCTCTCAGCCTGCTGCTTGTGGATTAAGGATGTGAAGTTCTCAGTTGCTGCTCCAGTGCCATGTCCACCTGCTTCCTGCTATGATGGTCGTGGACTTTACTACCCTTTGGAATCATAAACCCCAAATTAAGTGTTTTCCTCTAGAAGAGTTACCTTGGCCATGGTGTCTCTTCACAGCAATAAAATACTAAGACACCCTCCATGTTATTTTTGAGATAGGTTCTCTCAGTGAACCTGGAGCTTTCCATTTCTGCTATACTAGCTGCTGGTCAGTGAGCCCTCAGGTTCTCCCTGTCTTTGCCTCTCCAGAATTCAAGTCATTGATGTGTGCTGTCTCCTGACATGGATGCTGGGAATCCAAACTGAGGTCATATTTGCACAAGGACACTACCCACTGAGCCACCTCCCCGGCTCTACTTTTGGATTCTTTAGGATGCACAATGAGAGAATCATGTGCCTTTTCACATTCATTCCTACGTTGTCTTTGCTGGTTGCGTCCCGCTGGCTTACTTAGCTTCCAGTTGCTCTTGCAAACATCGCTGGAAAGGAAGGAAAATTGCTATTGGGAGATCCAAAAACTCCATCTACATAGCTGGCCCTTCTCTGATGTGTGTGTGTGTGTGTGTGTGTGTGTGTGTGTGTGTGTGTGTGATGAAAGAGAGAGAGAGAGACAGACAGACAGACAGAGACAGAGGCTACAAAGTCTTCCAGGGCTCCTTGGACATTTTGTTTCTAATTCAGAGAGTAGGCTACTATAAAATCTTGCTGTTTCTTGAGGGTTACTGGCCATGAACTCTTGTCTGGTTTTTGGTTATGATTACAGACTTTTCTAACCAGTAATTTTCTTCTTTGATCCAGTCAGTCAAGCAGCTCAGATATTCTGGGAAGAGACTGTAATCATCTCAGACTTGAGTCCCTGATGGTCTGGCTAGCTGCAGTGGTATTGGAGAAATTATTTTGGCCACTCCACGTAGTTAAAAGGATATTTATTTAATGGCATAACTCACAAATTAAGTAATGGGTAGGTCGCAGGGTCTGGGGAAGGTGTAACGCAGTCCAGCGGTGTTCTCCGGAACTCTGCACAGTCAACCTCCACCGTTCAGCGTCCCGGCCCGGAGAGAGCGCACAGAGAGAGCGCTCACCCATCCAGCTCTCGGGTCCCCCGGCACCTCCCCTGGCCCCGCCTCGTAGGCGTGACAGTTGCCAGAGTCTCAATGGGGGTTGGAACTTCCAGATCCAAGCTGGAATGGCTACCCACTACACAGTGGAGTACAGTAAAGGAAGTCTAAAGGTGGTTTTTACACTTCGGGAGCAGGGGTAGAGCCCAGAGATGGGCAACCAGGACTCCAGCTGGCACAGGGGGAGTAGGCAGGGAAACTTGTAAGTAGGTGCTATTAGACCCCAAGACAACAAGATAGCCACAAGCGTTGGTCCTGTGGAAGGGGTGCCCTGGAAGTTGGCAAGGACTTGTCTATGGTCTTTGGTGACCTCTTCTCACCTGTGAACTGGTCTTTTGGGCATTCCAGAAACCCTACACCTCTTCCACTGCAGGGTAAGAGAGGCAGGACCAAAAGGGTGTATTTAGACCTGGCTAATGGCAGAGCGATTCACAACTCAGAACTTGACGATGACTGAGTTGGAGCTGGGACCTTCCACGTGGGCTCAGCCCAATCTCTGTCTCTGAAGGGAGGTGGGACAGATGATGATGGCCACACAAGGCTGTGCACAGGATGGCTGGCTAACTGGCGTTGTTAAAATTCCTTCCCTGGGGAGTCATCTCCAACACCTACCCTCCTAAGGTCCTAGTCCACAAACAGAGGTGTGATTCCACCAAAGTTCACCAGGGGGAGCCAATGAGATTACCAAGCTCACAGTGCCTTAGTTGAGAGGCTCCCAACAGAAGTGCAGGGGGCCTGGCCTTAGAGTAACCACACTGGGAGGTCTGTGCCCAGCAGGGAGGATGGCTTTCCAAGGACTGTTCAGATGGAGCCCCTTTCCCTGGTCCTTCACCACCTATAACCTCCCGGTCCTCTCCTAAGATTCCACCAGGCCCCTTGTAATTGGGGCAGTACTCAGGTGAGGGTTCCATGACCCTCCCTACCCTCTCCTTCTGTGAGAGAAGGTAGACAGTCAATAAACCCAGTTGTGATTATCTTGAGGCAGAACTCATGATGA